TCAGCCTTCCTGCTCCTCTGATGCTGCTTTTGGCCTGCTGTGTTCATCCAGCTCTACACCTTGTTATCGCAGATTCTCCAGCATCTGCAGTTCCTACTATCTGAAACAATTTTAACCCCACTGCAAAGCCTCTAAGGATGCCTACCCTGAAGAAATTACCCTCCTCCCTCCAGAAAAACCTGTGGATCTCTCTCTCTCCCACTGCAACTCTCTCGTAATCTCTTCGGCCTTGAAACTGCTCGACCACGTCCTGAAGCAAACCAGGCACTACAGCCACATCACCTTTCTTAGTACCTGCCTACGGAACCTAATGTCCATTCATTGTCAGGCAAGCCAGTCAATTTCAGGAGTAACAGTAGGAAAGAGCAGCTTTATTCAGGGCTCGAAGAGTTTTGATTCCATGCCTCTGATCTGTATGGCACAGACAACCAGTTACACAGATTCCTGGTCTGTAACCAATTAGTGACTGAAGCACAGGCAAGGTGACAAAATTAAAACTTTAATTAAAGTTGAATTCTCCACAGAACTTTCCATTAAAATTAAATAGTTAAAAGGCTATTTCATCTCCATTTTACAGCAGTTTGAGACATTCCCCTTTATTCACAACACAAGATAGATTCTGCTCTCCTAAATAACTGATCAGACCCACCACACCTCTCTGTAAAGATTTACCCCTGTTCAGGGGCTGGAAATGGCTCACAACCAGTAAGGACTTGACACACCCTTAAAACCAAAGGGACAAGTCTATTCAAAGACACTTCCAACCACAAGTATATACATAATCCAGAAGCATAAACATTCCCAACACCAAGATCCTTCAAGGAGTGTTCTTGGAGTCAAGAGACATGTTAATTACACTGTAGTAGAGCAAACTTGAAAATATGTTTAGATATATCTGCAACTGTACGATGGTTTAGTCTAAATGGAGGCAGCTAGTTCTGGAGTTCAGAAACAAAACATTAAAAACCCATACAGATTGTAGAGGTGGATTTCAAATATAAAATACTCAAAGCAAGAGTTGCCATTACACATTGTAGTTGTGTATAGTTAGGAGCCAAAAAGGTAGACAATCTTGGTTTAACAAACAAAAAAGATACTGGTTTACTGTTAAACCCTCTGCCTAAAGCAGAGGCAATGAAGACTGACTGGAAACATCTACTGAAGACTGAGCATATTCAACATCCAACAGCACACCATGGCACAGCCACACAACTGGTTTCTCTAGTCTCCTCTACACTGTCTCCATTTGTGTAGCCCTCAGTATCCAACACAGTTGAAGCTAATGGAGCGGCTACTTCGACCCCCCACGAGTCTTTGGCTCCTGCTCTCTGGAAGGACAGATTTCTTGACTGGATGCAGGGATTTAGGGTCAGCCTGTGGGAAGCCCTGAGAGAGTCTGGCCTTCATCAACTCCCTAAAAAGAAAAGGATTTGGCAAAATATGCAAAAAATTCAAAACAGGTTGAATCCAAGTACCGTCTCAAAAAGTCAACAGCAAGAGTAAGAAAGCAGCATCAATTTGAGCTCATTGATGTGTTTAAAAGGAGGTCAGCATGTCTTCTAAAGCTGGAGGAACCACAGTGAAGAACAAACGAGTGTATGAGTCACATGGGTAACTGCACCATGGACCATTGGAAAGGCACAAAAACTTCTCAACCATCAGACCAGCTTGGGTCAGGTTTCTTAGTGAGTTTCTAAATTTAGTGGGAAATGCTTTCAGAAAATTTAATTCCTCATGCACTTTCCCTGGTGACTGATCAGGTCAAGACCTTGAAATTCAGTCTCTGTTCCTCTTCTTACTCATCAAGAGGACAGCCAAACATGAGCAGCTAATCCCAGAGAGGGCTGACCAATATTCAGTGGGCATGTTCATCTGAGGACATATGCTGAGGAAGGGGGGGGGGGGGGGGGGGGGTGGAGGCATGCGGGAAGGACAAGTTTAGAAGCTGTTGGGGTGGAACACAAACAGCAAGGGACTGGAGATAATTGGAGTTATTTACAAACCACCAAATAGCAGTAGTGTAGTATGAAAATTGGGAAGTGAGAAGCATGTGGCATGGCAACAGTTGGTCCATCTGAAAATAAACTAAATAAATTCAGCACTAAATGCTCTGGCGGACAGGTTTGTGGTGTGTGAGGAATGATTTTCCAGAGCAGCAGGTTGAAAAGCTGATAAGGCCAATACAGAGGGAGTATCATTTAATTAAAAAAGGCTAGTTAGTAATCTTGTTGTAAAAGGAGCTTTGGAGATAATTGGCCATAATGAAAGAACTGCACACGACTGGAATGAGGTGCTCACTCTGAAGCAAGGGTGCTAAATTTGAAGTGAATTTATGAAAGCACAAGGCACAAATTGGCAGATTAGGAAAATAGAGCCATGTCTGTATCTAGGTCTTTGAAGTCTATCCATCACCTATTACATGATTTACAGCAACTACACATTCCTTCAAAGATGCAAGGACTCAAGGTTGTTCAAGTGTAACTAACAAAGGCAGGCAAGGATTGTGCCAAGATTAAGGCTTCTACAGTGGTCAGAACGAGTAATCAATCATGAAGCTAGGCAAGTTTTTATAATACAAAAAGAACAAGAAATTGATAAGGCAAGAACAGAACACAAATGCAATCTAGCAAATAAACAAAATCTGCAGGTACTTTGCCTGCAACTTCAGAAAACATTGAGGAAACTTGATAGTGGGAAAGAGAAGTGGCAGAAAAGCTAAATGATTACTTTGTTGATAGAAATTATTAGGGAGAAGAAATTAACATTAAGAAGGTCGCTCCAGACAAGTGGGTCAGGTTGGCAGGAGCAGATAGTCTACAGCTAGAATAAGGAGTTGACTGGAGATAATCAATGCATTGGTAATCATTCCAGATTCTATGGAACTTTGGAAGATTTTCCCATGGATTGTAAACCTGACTAGTGGAGGAAAGAGTAAAGCAAGATCAGAAGGAAAATGTTAGACTCTATTGTAAAGGATATCTAAATGGACAATTTATCTGATTGGGCAGTCAGCAAGAATTTGCCAAACAGAAGTGCTTGACAAGCTTGGAGTTTGAGGATTATAAAGGGAAGTCAATATACGTAGTACATTTAGACCTTAAGGTAGCCTTTGACATGATCCACACAGGAGGCTGTTGTTAACAAAATTAAAGCACAAGATGGGTTAGTGTACTGGTCTGGATTAAGGATTGACTAACAGTAAGAATAAACAGTTATTCTCATATTGGCAGTGGTAGTACAAGGATCAGTGGTCGGAGCTCCAGTCAACAAAATGTCAACCTTCACCACAGGGGGATCAGAGAACAGGCTTGCAGTTTTATTTCAATCGTACAGGGGCTTTGTTAAAGCACAACTAGAATCCTCTGCAGTTTGGTCTCTTATCTCAAGATAGATATTATTCTGTGTGCAAAGGTCCACCAGATTTGTTCACAGGATTATGGGACTGTCTTTAGGAGAGATTGGGCAAACTGGGATTGTATTCCTTGAGATGAAGAATAAAGGGACTCCCATCTGAAACTTGCAAAAATACTGAAAGGAATAGGCAGGGTAAACACAGATCAGGGGATTCCCCTGGCTCAGATCAAGAACAGGCACAATTTGAAACATTTAGAATAATTTTATTTACTCAGGGGGTCATGTATCTTTGAAATTCTCTGTAGGGTTGAGGTGGCTCAGTCTGAGTGAGTGAATGTTTAAAGTAGAGGTGAATACATTTAATAATAACGTAAAGGGTTTGGGGATGGTGTGGGTAAAAGGCATTGAAGTATGATCAGCCATGATTGTATTAAATGGCACAGTAGACTCGATGGGTTGAATGGCTCAAACCCATTCCTGAAACATCAGTCTTTCCATTGTGGGATCCTTGTGTGTATTAGTGGAAATTTTGCAAGGTGGTTGAAATAAGGGGAATGATAGAAATACAAACCACTGTCAGGCAGTCAGCTCCCAAGTGTGGGGTTCAGTAGAGGTGTCCTAATGTGCACTCCATGCTGTTATTCAGCAACATGGCGATGGGAGCAGCATCTGTAAACACTTGCTTCATCAGAAGCTCCTGAGGATGATCTCCTGGTCATTTCCCCAGGCCCCTCCCTCACTGCTGGTCACCCACTCTGAGCAGCACACCTCGTTCCATGTGAACCCAGCTTTGTTCTTACGCACCTCTCCAACATAGCCGTCCTGAATCGCTCCACATTGAGCTCTTTCCGGAGCTGAGAGGCCAGCTTTCTAGAATTCTGACGAAGGACAGGATGTCTTGTCAGTCCAGCGGAAGATGGTCTCTCTGTAGGATCTGGGTGAATCATAAGCTGGAATAGGAGAACAGCAGTTGGAACAGGAACAGGGAGGGTTATAAAGACACACTGCTCCTGGCAGAAGTTAAGACTTTATTCAGGACATTCATTTAGGTTCAAATACCAAGATTTTGACTACAAATATTTTCCAGACGATACCTCCAGATCTATGGAACTTCCTAAAAAAGGAATTATGAGAACTGCACACCTTAAAAGCGCCAGATCGAAGATTGTTCTTCAGGGGATAGTATGTTAAGTAACCTCAAGTGAAGATTTTCTGTATCCGAGGATAAGGAGGGGCATTTGGCCACACGAGACTAGAAGCCCACGGCCACACAAACACTGCCCTGCCCATTACAGAAGCACCCTCATCCCACAAATATCTGGTGAACTCTTCCCACACACAAGTGGGGACTATTTCTTTCCTTAGCCTGGTCAAAGCTCCATTCTAGGTCTGGTCTCACCTGTACAAGACTCGCTAATCCTTTACTAAAAGTCTCTGGCAAGAGCAACAATTTCCTTCCTAGCTACTTGCTGTACCTGCCAGGGTTGCAGAGATACATGCTCCCCTTTTAAAATTCCCATTCTTCTGACCAAAGGAGCTAATGTCACATCTTCACCAGCCCCCACCCCCAGGTCCTTGTCAACTTAATCTCAATGTCCCTTTTCAGCCTGCTTTAATCTTCCTTGATCTTACTGCCTAACCAGAGTTGAATCCAAGTTTACGGACATTACACTTCATTCTCTAATCCAAGTCATTGACTGGGACTCCTGTCCAAGCATTGATCCTTGCCATCTTGAAGACGACCTGTTCGTTACCACTGTTTCCTGTTCTTTAAGCAAGCCACCTCAGTGGGGAAATCACCCAGTATTAACTCAGCCGTGAGCAAACCAAGACAATCTTTATACCTAAATTTTCAGAAATTTGGTATTATATTTGTTGGTTCCCTTGATAATGCCACCTTCAGAAACAAATCTTCAAAACACCTCCCCTTTCACTAACCCCAAGCCAGCATGGTTCTCACCTCCCCGTTTTCCGTACTGCAATCTCAAGCTCACTGGCCTAGTCACCATCCCGTTCTCACACTGGGGAGTTACACTTACAGCTCAAGAAGTTTTGAATAATCAAAATGAGTCTCAAATCCTCAGCTTATGGCCTACATTCTAAAGTTGTGCCAGTTTTAGTCCCACTAATTTCTCCATTTTCCCCCACACTAAATACGACCAAGTCCCTCTCATGAAACTTGTGATTCCCACAACAGTCAACTATTAGCTATGGGTCTATGCTGCTACTGGAGCTATGATAGAAATCTTTCCCCCCTATCCCCAGGGTCTGGACACCCAACTGGGATGGGAGATCTCTCCCCATTGGGTGGTAAGTAGATCGATGGACTTCTGAATCTTCCCTTGATATTTCAGTTGTCCTTAGATAAGGGTCAGCAGTTTGACAGGGACAAGATGTTGGGTCAGGGATATACTCATACCAGGTCCCACTCAAGAAGAACTTGAGTCCACATTTCCCCCAATTTCATCAGAACCAGAATCCCTACAGTAGAAGCAGGCCATTCAGCCCAATGAGTCCACGATCCCTCCAAAACTGTATAACAAGACCCAACCCCCTACCCCATCCCTGTAACCCTGCATTTCCCATGGCTAACCACCCAGCCTGCACATCGAGCAATTTCCCATGGCCAATCCACCTAAACTGGATGTCTTTGGACCATGGGAGGAAGCAGAGCACCTAGAGGAAACACACGCAGACATGGGGAGAATGTGAAAACTCCCAACAGACAGCTGCCAGAGGGTGGAATCAAACCTGGGTCTCTAGTGGTGAGGCAGCAGTGCTAACCACTGAGCCACCCTATTTTGTTCAAGCGAGTTTGTGAACAAATGAACAGGGGCTCAAAGTTGAAAAACACTGCTCACTGAGTAGGAGTAAGTAACTATGGAGTTGTGGGTCAGGTGGGCACTGTTCCTCAGAATGAAAGGGGTCTAATTTTAGACTCTCCTCACCCAGACCCACACTTCCAGTTCATGTCTGCACAGTGCTGTGACACTGAGTAAAAAAAGGTGCTGAATTACAAAGTAGGTCTGTGTACAATTCCTGAACAGTCTGAGGGCCTCCATACATTGACTATTTTCAGATGGCATCTGCTACAGCTTAAAGCCAGCTAATGCCCACAAGTCTAAGTCATTACAGCATCTGAAGTCAGAATCCTAGTCCCAAATGGAAGACCAATAAAAGAATTATTTTACTCAAATAACAAGGTGTAGAGCTGGATGAACACAGCAAGCCAAGCAGCAGAGGAGGAAAGCTGACGTTTCAGGTCTAGACCCGAAACGTCAGCTTTTGTGCTCCCCTGATGCTGCTTGGCCTGCTGTGTTCATCCAACTCTACACCTTGTTATCTCAGATTCTCCAGCATCTGCAGTTCCTACTATCTCCAACAATTTTACTCAAAACTAGATTAATTCACTGACTATCAAGACAATCATGTAGTCTTCCCAGTCATGAGGCAGAGTTGCCTGATGGAAGATGCAGTGATCCAGCAGAGTCATGTGGGTGATCTAGAATCTGATCAGGCAAGCATCGATGTTTTCACAGCCCACAGAACAACACTGCTCATCTTCAAGCAATGGAGAAGGCAGAAGCCTGGTATGGAGTCAGCAACATGTTCCAATTGCACCCAGTGCCCCCTAGGGCATTAGCCCAGTATCTGGCTTACAGTCTGGTGACTTTACCACCACACTCCCTTTTCCACGATGTCCCCACAGGCTCCAGCATCAACCATTGTCTGGTAATATTGCCACGACACCCATCAGGTCAAAACTTACAACTGGCCCAAGAGGCCTCAAACAGCAACATGGATTGAGGACCTGAAGACACAAGTGGGTGCTGGTTTCACTGAGCAGGCACTACTCAAGAGCCACGAGCAAAGGAAAGAAGGCTGATTGTATACAATACTTAATAAGCAGAGAGAAAGTTTCACTGTTGTAACATTGGGTACAAAAGTCCATCTACAGTAATGTGACATTCAAATCACTTAGGATACTGACCGAGGGACAAACATGATCTACGACACTGGGACCACACTGACTTCTCCTCAAAATAGTGCACCCTGGGATCTTTCATGTCAGCCCAGCTGCCTGATGGATCTTCATCTGAAAGACAGCATTGCCCAGTGCTGCAATAAGTGAACCTGCACTGGTGTTCAAATTCGAGTGGGATTTGAACCCAGAACCTTGTGATTCAGAGATGAGTGGTTTCTCCACCATTGACAGCCATTGCTTACCTCGAACAAAACACTCAGCTTGGCCACCATTGTAAAGAATAATCCACTTACTTTCAATAGGCTGAAAAAGTCATGTGACAGTTGCTGAGGAATTGTGGGAAGGTTGCCCTTCCTGATGTAATGCCAGGCCATGTCATTTGAAGGGAGTTCCTCTGCTCCTGCTGCTAATGCCATGGTGAGACCCAAAGCGAAGATATCAGCTTTTGGCAAATTGGAATAGTCCTGAAGGAGACAGGATAATATTGCTGGAGTCTTCCAAATACTTTTCAAACAGCCATAAAGGATGGAAACTGCATTTATTTTCTAACAGTAGGCATTTGTGGTGATGTTTGTCTTCTTCACTCTCCACCCCCCAACCCACACACGTAGGCATTAGCAAGACCATTTGTCACCTATCTCCCAACCGCCCACAAGCTAAGCAGCTCGCCTGGCCATTTTAATGGCCGTTACAAATCCCAGTGCTATGGACCCAAAATCAAGATGTAGGCCAGACCAGGCAAGGGTGGCAGATCTCCTTCCTTATAAAAGAAGGAGTTATGAAAATTCATCTCGTTTGCTCTGACAAAGTGATACTTTCAGGGTCACTTGAGTCTAGCTTTGGATTTAAAAGTTTAATTAATGGAATTTTAAAATATCACTAGCCTCCCCATGGTGGGATGTGAACCTATGACCCCAAAGCAAGAACCTGAGCCTCAGGTTTAGTGGTAATACCACCATGTTATTTTTTTTTCCCCTATTTTTGACAGATATTGAAGGCTCTAGGAAGCAAATTTGCACACAAATATCTCCAATAAGACGGTGACTAGATTACATTTGAGACACTGGGGACATTTCCTCTGTTCAAAATTAGCACCATGATTGGGTATTTTGCATACTTGGTCTGGTTTGTGAGGAGATCCCAGAGAACAGCACTGGACATCTGACTGATACCTCAAAATGTATGAACTCAGACAATAGGATGAAGAGGAGGCAGGTAAGGAGTGTACAAGCCAGGCAAGTTACATTCGAACATGACTGGGACTGACATCCACATGGATATTTACTTGTGGCATTGGCTGGGATCAACTAGTTTTCTAAGGGATGGGAACTGAAGGGTATCCAAATTATAAATAAGCCAGTGACAGAAACAGAAAAGCTACTTGAGACTTTATTCATCCATTCATGAGACAAGGGTGTTGCTATCGTGCCTCAGACAAACAAACAATGACAAAAAGACCATCTTAAGGGCACAATACTTTAACACATGTGGCAGTGTAGCAGATTGAATGGCACAAACTGAAGTAAACATTACCATTACAGAAACATGGCTGAACAGTGACCAGAACTGAACTAAAAAAGCCATTCAACATTTAGGACAAGGAGCACAAAAGGTGGAGTGGTGCTAATAGTAAAGGATGGGATCTGTAAGGGAAGATCTGATTGGAAGAAATGAGAGAAATCTATTTGGGTAGAATTAAGTAAACGTTAACTCCGAGTTCCTCTTCACAGATGCTGCCAGACCTGAGCTTTTCCAGCAACTTGTTTTTGAACAGTAAAAAAGGTATGTAGACCATGGTATTAATCAGATGAGAGAAGTAGCATGGGCAACTTCAATCTGCACATACCTGCAGGTAAACTAACCAAGCACAAGCTGTCAGGGATGGGTTTCTGGAGCAGCAGGTTGTAGAGCTGACTGGATGGCATGCTCATTCTACATTGGAATGTAACAAGAGGACTATTCAACAATCTAACTGCAAAAGAATTCAGGGACGAGTGAGCAAGAGGAGAATTTCAGTCTGAAAGGTGAGGGAGTTCACTCTGAAGTAAAGGTGTTAAAGTTGAAGGGAAATGAATGAATGCATGAGGTACATATTGGCTAAGGTGGATTGGGGAAAATACAAAGACATGTCTGTATCCAGGTCCTTGAAGTTTACCTATTGCCTATTACATGACTTACAGCAACTATACATTCCTTCAAGACACAAGGACTCAAGGTCAGTCAATCATGGCGAAGAAAGGTTTGTACACAATTGAAAGGAAATGCCTATCCAAAAGTTGCCAGAGAATAGTAAATCTGAGGATTGGAAAGTTTAATACAGCAAAGGAGGAGCAGGAAACTGATAAGAATATGCAAAATCTGGCTAAAAAGATGGACTAAGCTTCTACAGATGTGTAAAATTGAAACATTTGGCTAAAACAAATGAGTTCATTTATAAATAGTCAGGAGATTTTGTAACCGGAAGTACAGAAACAAACAAAAGCTAAATGATCGTCTTTGCCTCAGTGAAAACAGTTATAAAAAAAATCACCCAGAACGAGAGATCCAAGGGACTAGGAGAATAAGTATTTGAAGGAAATTAGCATTAAGAAATTGGAGAAATATGGCTAAGTGTTGATAAATCCCCAGGACATGATGGTCTGCATCCCAGAGTTGTAGGTGGTGACGAGAGATAGTTGATGCATTGCTGACCATCTTCCAAAGTTTAGGGAGGTGGGGGGGCGGGGGTGATGGCGAGAAAAAAAGGAGAACTATCGACCAGTTACCTCAGTAGGAACCCTAAAGGACATAATAAATGGATACTTACATGATAATCTATTAGACAGTTTGTATGGATTTAAGGATTGGAAAGTGTGCTTGACATTAAGGATAATACTGAAAAAATAAAATCAATGGAGAGCTGATGGACGTAATAGATTTAGATTTTCAGAAAACATTTGATAAGATCTTCCCACCCCAGGAGTTGTTCAACAGAATTAAAGCACTGGGATGGGAGGTAAAGTGCAGGCATGGGTTAAAGATGTGACTAACAGTAAACAGCAGAAATAAAGGGGTCACACTGGCAGGCTGTGACCAGCAGGATATCACAAGGATCAGCTGTTTACATTCTGATTTGGAGATGGGACCAAATGTAATATCTCCACATTTACAGCTAATGTAAAGCCAAGGGGGAACACATGTGGACAGGAAAGATGCAGAGTGGCTGCAGAAGGGAGGATTTGGACAGCCTGAGGTGACTGGATAAGTACATGGTCGATGGAAAATTGAGATTATCCACTTTGCACACACTTCCTATCAGAGTATTTAATGTTAGAGGCTGGAAAGGGTAAGTGTACAAAGACATCTTTTGATTGTAAGGCACTGACAGCTAACAAAGGCCAATGGAATGGTAACCTTTATAGCAACAGGCTTGGAGTACTGAAGTAGGGATGTTCTAATTCAATCATATAGGAGCTTGATTAGACTACAGCTGGATTACTGTGTCACTGCAGCAATTCTTAGAGACACCAAAATAGGTAAGTCACAATCTTGCTAGCCCACAGGGCTGCTTTAGAGGGATGATGGATGGTGGTCAGCATGCCTTAGGTGAGGGGAAGAGTTTGAGAAGAATCCTTCATAGTAATCTCAGCCAAGACAGGAATTAAACCCACACTGCTGGCATCACTCTGCTTTACAAACCAAGTGTCAGCTAACTGAACCTGCCATAAAGGCAGCGTAATGAAGGTTCATCAGATTTGTTCTGAGGATGACAGGACTGTGCTAAGAGTAAAAAGTATTTAAAATACTTTTAATCTTTGACATTCTCTATGCTATGGGCTAGGGAATGCTTACTATTTGAATATATGTTTAAAGAAGAGATTGATACATTTTTAAATCAGTGTCAAATGGTCATGGGGAGTGTGTAAAAAAAGTGTATCGAGGTGTTCAATTAGCCATGGTTACATGAAGCAGAGTAGATTTGACAGGCCAAACAGCCCACTCCTGTTCCTATATTCCAAGGTTTTTCCAATGTAAAACAAACTGACTTTGCACTTAAATATCACTATATTTAGTGATTTTTCTAATCAATTTCAGAGATGCTATCATACACCTCTGGAGCAGGTGGGACTTGAACCCAGGCCTCCTGGCTCAGAGATAGGGAACCTAACTCTGAAGGGCTTTTATGGTACAATGTCTCAAAGTTAACTGGGTTTTATCTGCAACACATTCTTCTGGAAATGCTGATCTGTGCAGTTTAACTAGCTGTCCGACCATGATGCACATTTCAATTATTGATTGAACCAGTCAGACTGCTTTTTCAGCCAAGCACATTGGATAAACCTACTTCAGCCCAGGTCCCAAGGCACTCGAAATGGAACGGTCCACATTTGGCCATCATGACGTAATGGAGATGTTGCTAACACAGTGGTCAGCATGCCTTAGGTGAGGGGAAGAGTTTGAGAAGAATCCATCATAATCTCAGCCAAGACAGGAATTTAACCCACACTGTTAGCATCACACTGCTTTACAAACCAATTATCAGCTAAGTGAACCCTGCCATAAAGGAATTCCACAGACTCATTACTGGGACCAGAGAGAGTGGGGGAACACTGGCTGAAATGCCACCATTTAAGCATACTCTATTCACATTAACATGAGATGTACCTTCTGACAGCCACTCATCCTAATCCCCAGTCTAAGGGGGTTGGGGAAGGGGGATGCTGTCTGCCACTTACCTCTTGTAAAACCTCATTTGCCAGGAAACGGCTGTCTCCTTCTTCCACCTGTGGATTGCTGATTGACGTCACGTGGCCAAGGTCACCTTAACAAGGCAAAAACATTTTAGTGAGCATTCTGGCTGGTTTAAATACCTAGAGCTACAAAAGATAGAAAGCTAATGCTCCACATGGAGTGAAATCAAAAACCAGGGTGTAGAGCCAGCATTAGCTCCAATGACAATCGATGTGCAATTAATATTAGGATTTAAGGGAACCAATAGTATTTCAGTTTTTGTCATCTTCTCAAATCAGATTCCTGCCTCAAATTCCTTTACTTTTCTAGGGAGTGCTGCTCGCAGGCCCAATAAACATCACAAGTTACACATACACGACACGTCTGCGAGTCCGAATTCAGATCCAATTCTATTTCCAGTGTTGGGAAGCATTTACCAATTTTGTACAGTACATTGGTGACCAAGGCTCCCTCTTCATCAGCATCACTGTCATCTTCCATACATCCTGTCACATCAGGGGTCACTCTCCGACAGATGAAGATGTTACCTAGAGATTGCAACAGCAAATAGCAACTGTTACTCAAAATGGTATTCACAAGAGCTGTGAGCCTATCTAGCTCTGAGCATCCTTTATTAGCTTGGGAAGAAACCTAGTCTGCTGATGACTAACCCAAATGCTACATTTACATTCTTCAACTCTCACCCAATGTCTGTTTACCCTGCAGCTCAAACATCTGCAGTTAATCCAAGCAGAATCTCAAAGCCTTCTCCAGAGAGAAGTAGAAAGCATGTTAGAGGAATAATGCTGGTTAGGGCCTAAGGATCGGCAGAGACTGAGTCATGGTGGCGCCAAGTGAACATGTTACTATTGCTTAACAGGTGTATTGTGTCTTTTTTTGGACAAGTTTTAAAGATAGAGGTGGAGAGTTGTCTATTGAAAGCCCTAAACAGCTGAGGTGCCTTAGGGTTTTTTGTTTGAAAAGTTGTAAGAACAGAAATTGTCCCATTTGGCAGAGACAGCATGGGCTCATGAAGGGCAGGTCCTGCTAAATTTACTGGAATGCCATGGAGACATTGAGCACAATGGACAACAGGGACCCAGATGTGATGTATCTAGATTTCCAAAAAGCATTCAACAAGGTGCTGCACAGAAGACTGCTGCAGAAGATAAAGGTGCACAGCATTACAGGCAATGTGTTAGCATGGATCGAGGATTGGTTGACTAACAGGAAGCAAAGAGAAGGGATAAATGAATGCTTTTGTGGTTGGCAGTGACTAGTGGTGTGCCTCAGGGATCAGTATTAGGACCACAATTGTTTATAATTTACATAGATGCCTGGGAGTTTGGGACCATGTGTATTGTGTCAAAGTTTGCAGATGATGCTAAGATGATAGAGCAAAGTGTGCAGAGGACTCAATTTGCAGATGGATATAGGAAGTTTAAGTGAGTGAGCAAAGGTCTGGCAGATGGAGCACAATGTTGATAAATGTGAAATTATCCATTCTGGTAGGAATAACAGTAAAAAGGACTTATTTGAACAGTAAAAAACTGCAGCATGTTGGTGTGCAGAGGGAACTGGGTGTCCTTGTGCATGAAGGACAGAAGTTTGGTTTGCAGGTAATTAAGGTGGCAAATGGAATTTTGTCCCTCATTGCCACAGAGATGGAGTTTAAAAACAGGCAGGTTATGTTACGGCTGTATACGGTGCTGGTGAGGCCACATCTGGAGTACTGTGCGCAGTTTGTGTCTCCTTACTTAAAGATATTCTGGTGCTGGAGGTGGGGGCAGCAGAGGATATTCACTAGGATGATTCTGGAGTTGAAGGTTGCCTTATGAGGAGAGACTGAGTAGACTGGAATTATATTCATTGGAATTTAGAAGAGGGGGGGAATCTTATAGAAACAAAATTATGAAGGAATAGACAAGATAGAAGCAAGCAGTGGCAGGTGAAAGTAGGACTAGGGGGCATAGCCTCAAAATAAGGCAGGGAGCAGATTTAGGACTGAGTTGAGGAGGAACGTCTTCAGCTAAAGGGTTGTGAATCTGTGGGAGTCCCTGTATAATGAAATGGCTGAGGCTTCCTCATTGAATGTTTTTAAAGCTAAAGTTAATTTTTTGACCAGTAAAGGAATGAATTGTTATGGAGGGGGGTGGGTAGGTGGAGCTGAATCCATGAAAAGATCAGCCTTGATTTTACTGAATGGCAGAACAGGCTCGAAGGGCCAGATGGCCCACTCCTGGTTCTTTTGTTCCAAGCAATAGAAACAGCCTGAATTGGGGGGGGGGGGGGACAAGCACCCACAGAACCAGGATTTGTAGTTGCTGTTGGCATCTTGAAGCTGGGTTGGGAAGCTGCAGTACATCTGTTTCTCTTGATGGTTTTTCCGAGTGGACTGTCTCACATGCTATTTTACAATCTATTTTACTGAATCTGCCTTTGTCAAGGGTATATTTATGGGATGTCGTTACCTTGAAACAGTTACTGTTTAGTAGTTAAATAATGTATTATCCTGTTAATTTTTTCATAAGATTATTCCAATTTCTCCTCTTGTTGTATTTTAACTATAGTGTTTTGCTTTAAATCGGATTGTTTGACCAACTGAATCACATCTGGAACACATAGCCTGGACCCTGCCTTTTTCTTATTTCTTAAAGGCAGTGTCAGGCAATCACCTTTTGCGGGAGTTTGGTCTGGTCCATAAATAATGGATTTGTTTTCTCACACAAGCAAATGCTACCAAAGCTATGGTAGCAGAACAGGAGATTCACTCACTAAAGGGCTCAAAATTTAAAAAACATTGGATAGGCTGTATGTTGCATTTCAGAATTGGAGATGCATCTGCGGATACTGAAGGTGACAAGTGGAAATTCCAGAGGCACTAGCCTTAATTTTACTAACCTTTCCAAGACGTGATAGTGCTAGATTACTGGAAATTTGCAAACATTACATCTTTTCTCAACTGAGAAATTTTGGGGTGATGAAAAGTGGATATTTTGTGATTCAGTGGTAATGTCCCCACCTCTGAACTAGAATATCCAGGCTCAAGTCTTACCTTCTCCTGAGGTGCATTATAACGTCTGAACAGATTAATTAGAAATATCCAACTGAGAAAGGTTAGAGCCCATGCAAAGGGGCAGTAGCAACAGGAGTACAAAGTTGGCTGAGTGTGTCACAAAAGAACAATAATTATTGGATATTTCAGGCTGGAAGGCTTGTATTTTGTTGTTTTTCCTGATTAATATTCGTGACCTAAGACTGACATATACAGGGTCCAATTTCAAAGTTTGTAGTCTATACAAAAATTGGAAGAATTGCCAAGTTAGAGGTGTGGGCAGATAGGTGGCAGATGAACTTCAATGTACAGAAGTCGGTGGTGATAGATTTTTGGTACAAGGAATATTAGGGCAATGCCATTTTTATACTGAAAGGATGTGCAGGAGCAGAGGAACCTGGTCCATGTGCATTAGTTTTTAGAAAGGATGCAGGACATGTACAGCACTATTACAGACTATAGTATCCTAGGCTTTATTAACAGGGAAACTGCATACAAGAGCAAGATGACATTGAACTTTTAGAGATTGAACCTCAGTTGGACTGGTGCAAGATGTCTGGTTGTTACATAATAGGAATATGAACACATTGGGAGAGATCTCAAAAAGGTTTACAAGGAGGGTTACCGGCATGACAGTTTCAGTTATAAGATTAGAGAAGTTGGGACTGTGCCTGGGCAGAGAAAGCAGAAACAGTTGACAGTTTGAAATCACAAAGGGTCTGGATAAAGATAGAAAGAGTCACATTTTAAAACAGACATGAGAGGACACAGATTTAAACTAATTCGCAAAAGCAGTGAATTAGATTTGTGTTCTCACCTCTTTCATATTGTGCATATCTGGGATACAATGCTTGCAGGTTCAATCAAGGCACAAGATAATTTGAATAGAAATAACACAGCGTTACAGGGAATGACGAGCGTTCAGAGAATCATTGCAGACAGACTGAATGGTTTCCTTCTACAAACCCTGAACAGAGGAGAAACCTCCACAGGCATCTGTAGACTTGGAGACCTACATTGCAGTGTCTTTGCATGACCAATATGGGTTAACATTTCTCATGTTACAACAATACACAGCCAGCCCAGTGGATAGGGAGATTCAAGGCACTAACAAGGGAGCAACTGGAAGCATACATATTAAGACTGATCCTGCTACCTCACAAAGTAATTCATAAATCAGTGACAAAGGGGCCCTAAACACCAGCGGTTGAACCCATTACTAGCCAACATGCACATTATTCCCCGCACTCACTTGGTTTGATGTCCATATGGACCAAGCTGGAACTGTGAATATACTTCAGTCCCATCGACACCTGCAGTAGAATCTCCTTCAGCTCCCCCTCAGCCAGTAAGATTCCTTCTTGTAAGTTCTCCATCAATGCATCTGCCAGACTGCCACCTGAAATCAAATCAATTCAAGGAATTCTTCAATCTAACTGAGGTGGAGTGAGAAGTGTATATAAAACAAAGAACAAAGAAAACTACAGCACAGGAACAGGCCCTTCGGGCCTCCAAGCCTGCACCGATCTAGATCCTCTTTCTAAACCTGTTGCCTATTTTCCAAGGATCTGTATCCATAGTGTCCAGAGACATGTAGGTAGGTGGGTTAGCCATGGGAAACACAGTTACAGGGATCAAGTAGGGGTGTGGGTTTGGGTGGGATACTCTGAGGGATGGTGTGGGCTTAATGGGCCAAATGGCCTGCTTCTACACAGTGTAGAGATTCTATAATTCTAAGTTTAAAAAATTGGTGTCTCAACAATCAGAAGAGACACAAACTTCTGAAGGGTCTCGACCCGAAACGTCAGCTTTCCTGCTCCTCTGATGCTGCTTGGCCTGCTGTGTTCATCCAGCTCTACACCTTGTTATCTCAAAGTTACTTACTTTGCATTTGACCCCTTGCCTATTAACCTCTAATGCTTAACCAGGCAATAATTTACCTTCAGCTTTAACTCTTTCTACAATGTTTTTGAATTTGATCCCACTATCTTCTGGAAGTCCACATACAACCCCCATACTTTACAAATCCAATTGGAAAATCACTGTCCTTAAACTTCAATTCCACAAACTTCCCCACAATAGACCATACAATTATAGCTCAAACTTCAAAAGTCTGTTCTGAAAGTTTGTGGTCAAACTATTTGCAATTTCTTACACTATTTCAAACCTTAGGAGGAAGACTTCAGACTACAGTCTTTCTCAAACTTTAACTATACTTATGATGGAGATGCTGTGAATCAGGAACAAAAACAAAAAGTTGCTGGAAAAGCTCAGCAGGTCTGGCAGCATCTGAAGGATAAAAAAAGAGTTAATGTTTCAGGTCCATTATCTGTTTTTGCCTTCACAGGTGCTGCTAGACCTGCTGAGCTTTTCCAGCAACTTTGTTTTTGTTCATTAATTCACCAGTGTTGGTGTAATGCCCATATATTATCCTCTTGTGAAGCGTGACACTATTCAACCAGTTTGCCATTTCCAGAATTATACTTTAAAGAACTGACATTCCTGATCATTTTTGCTAATCCCCTTCGAATCTACAATTATAAACTTAAGACCTCAATTCTACATGCATCTCCATTTTCTCCACCGAAAGTGTTCATCACCAATTCTATTTCTAGTCTCCTTGATCTACACTATTCTTTGCATTCCAGCATACTCTGAATGGATTCTCACTCAAAACCACAATCATTATAGCTCTTCCCCCAGATACATTTCCCTAAATAGCAGGCTGATTGCGTTTTGATCACCTCAATTCATCTGTAATTTTCTCAATTATTTTGACCGGTTTGTGAAAAGTCTGGGTGCCACACTACTACAATCAAAATACCAGAAGAGGTTCACTTCATTTCCTTATACCTTCCAAACACTGTCAAAGTCTGCAATATTTAATTCAGTTGTCCCAATTTCCCAGGCACATCTTTAATGGCAGATGTCCAACTCCACAGCCTACATTTACATCTCAAGCATTATTTCTTGTAGTCAAGTGATAGTTTTCTTGAGCAAAAGTAATTTGTCGTCTTTGCTTAAGATTTCTTTACAAGTTCTATATCCCTCAAGTGAAAGGAATTCAATCATTGATCTTTGTTAAAATGTGGTTTCTGACTGACTGACCCGACTTATCACCAATCCCATCTTCCAATCCCCAAACACACTGCTCAGACCCTGGGTCCTGAGAAGCCTGTTCAAGACACAGTCTTCCCCCTCACTCCATGAGGAGCACTTGGTCAAAATGAAACCCAATTCCTTTAGCCAAGTGTTCCTCTTCACTGATTAGCTAGTTTCTCTGCTGGTGTAACACCCCAGACAATAGAAAAGTCAACTTAGACACGAGCAGCAACACAATGACTCAGTCGTTAGCACTGCTGCCTCAGTGCCAGGGACCTGGGTCCACTTCTGCCCTTAGAGACTATGCAAACTCAAGACACATTCCCCCATATCTGTGGGGCTTCTTCCAGGTGTTCCTGTTTCCTCCCATGGTGCAAAGATGTTCAGGTTCAGTGAATTGGCCATGCTAAATTGTCCCATAGTGTTCAGTGATATGCAGTTTAGATGGATTAGCCATGGAAAATTGCAGGATTACAGGGAAGGGGGAGTTGGAGAATCAGAGGGCTGGTGTGGACTCGATGGGCCAAATAGGGTTTCTATTGCTTCTATTGTTGAAGATCTTGAAGCAGGAGATTGAGGATAAAATCCCTCAAAGAGCTGAGAAGGTTGGCAAATCAAGAAAGTGTCAAACTGAAAATTCGACAGATTTCAATAAAGGTAGTAAGGGTTAAGGAATCAAATTAGATGGAGTTGAGAAGCCCAAGCTTTGGATTAAGGGTTGCAAGGGTCTGAATGGACTGTCATTTCCCAGAACTCCGATTAGCTGTAGAGGAAGGTTAAGGGCTGTTGAGGTGCAAGTGGTCCTTACCATTACAGTACTCATTCTGTATCAGCATGTGATCATCCTCTGCCCAGGCAGAATAGTACCGCACCACATGAGGATGATGTCCCAGCACTGCATGAGCGTATACCTCTCGGAGAGCAGTCTGCCTGTGGATTAAACAGCAATGATGATCCCCAGCCTGTGACCGCAGGACAACCTGTGTCAATTTACTGAGGGGGGGTGGGGCACACTGCCCTGGCAATAGCTGCTTATTTTAAACACAATTGGGTCGCTACAAAATATAGACAGAATGTGCATGACTGGCTCCCTTAACCATTTTATATTTCCACTGATGGAGCACTTTACAAACCATGGGCAGTTGTAACATGTAGGAACCAAGGGCTAATTAGTGCCCAGACTGAAAACAAAAGAAAATACTGGCAATCACAGCAGGACAGGCAGCATCCAGACAGAGGGCACAACTCGAAACATTAGCTTGCTCTGTGTGCATGCTGCCTGACCTGCTACAAGCTCCAGCATTTGTTTTCAGTGCCGTTTCCAGCATCTGCAGTAATTTGCAGCTAATTCCTGCTCAATGTCCCACAGCGAGATGCAGAATGAGATAAACTTTCATTGTAAATGCAAAGGACAAATAATAAAGGAGTCATTCTCACATGCAACCTTTAACATGCACTAAGAGGCATCAGTTTAATACCAAAGCTGGAGCCTCTGATAATCCATCCTCACGGCCCTGAACAGAGCTGTTCAACACTCCACTGGAGCATTAATCTACAATCTTTACAATTGGAGGTAGAGCAACTGCTAACCAATTGGACAGAAGCATGTTCTCAAGTGGAGTGCAGTGCTCAATGGATTTGCTGCATTTTTCACAAAGTCACAGGCTCCCTGTAGCAAAGAGGCCAGTCAGCTCAGGGTGATATTTCTTTTTTTTTTATTCATTAACAGGATGTGGACATCGCTGGCTAGGCAGCACTTATTGCCCATCCCTAATTGCCCAGAGGGCAGTTAAGAGTCAACTACGTGGTTGTGGGTGTGGAGTCACATGTAGACCAGACCAGGTAAGGATGGCAGTTTCCTTCCCTAAAAGGACATTAGTGAACCAAATGGGTTTTTCCCAACAACCAACAATGGATTCACAGTCATCATTAGATTCTTAATTCCGGATATTTTATTGAATTTAAATTCCACCATCTGCTGTGGCGGGATTCAAACCCAGGTCCCCAGAACATTATCTGGGTCTCTGGATTAACAATCCAGCGATAATACCACTAGGCCTCCCCAGAAGGTAGAAAAGGTAACTTTTAGTTCAATTCACTTCCAGGCCAGAGTTCACTGAGGAACAGAAACCTAATCGCAGCTCATGACACTCACTCATCAAGAGACCCAGACAGAGGTCTCTTCAGCCGTTTGATGGCGTATAGACAGCCATCGAGTCTCTTCACGCATTTGAAGACAGCCCCAAACTCGCCACAGCCAATCTTCTCCAACTCGTAAAACTCCAGGGCATAACGGGAGCCCATGCTGCTCTCACAGAGGTTAAATTGCTGAAAGAGGAAAAAGGTATGAAGTCCATTTACTGAGATAGTCGTTCTTTAAACAAGAGCCACTGGGCATGTGGGAAAAGAAAATCACCGACCATCAAATTGCTGGCCCCTGGCTGGTCTCAGATGGTGTACGAGTCTGTGGGGGTTCCAAGAGACTGGAAAACACTTGGGAAAGTACACTAACATTCAACAGAATAGTGATGGACACTCCAAAGCAGTTCAGTACATAGCAAGTGAGCAGTGTGTCAGGAACACCTACAGTGGTGAACTAACAGAAGAGTTAGTGGCTGACCTTCCATTGATTTATCCTTCACTAGCTTGCTATCTTAGTTTTAAGATTAGTATGAACTAGGAATCAAGCCTAGTTTGACTTTAATCTACGGATTAACCCAACTGCAGCCTCGAGCTGAGATTTTCCTATTGGGGGGGCAGTTAGCTGTATGGCAGATTTTGCAATACAGCAAAACACCAACAGCATTGGTTCAATTCCCACACCAGCTGAGGTTACCTGAAGGTCAAACCTTCTCCCCTCACTGAGCCAGTGACCCTCAGGTTAAACCATCACCCATCATCTCTCTCAAAGATGAGAATAAAAACGAAGTTACAGCACAGGAACAGGCCCTTCAGCCCTCCAAGCCTTCACCGAAATGCTGCCCGTCACAACTAAAACCCCTACCCTTCCAGGGACCATATTCCTCTATTCCCATCCTATTCATGTATGTGTCAAGACACCCTTTAAAAGTCACTATAGTATCTGCTTTCACTACCTCCCTCAGCAGCAAGTTCCAGGTGCCCACCACAGTAAAAAAATGCCTTGTACATCCCCTTTAAACCTTGCCCCTTGCACCTTAACCCTATGCCCCCCCTAGTAACTGACTCTTCCACCTTCGGAAGAAGCTTCGACTGCCCACGACCTTCATAATCTTGTATAACACTATCAGGTCGCCCCTCAATCTCCATCATTTCAGTGAGAACAACCCAAGTTTCATCAACCTCTCCTCATAGCTACTGCCCTCCACACCAGGCAACATTCTGGTAAGTCTTCTGTACATCCTTCTGGTAGTGTGGCGACCAGAATTGAACAAATGCAGCCTAAGGTTCAATAAAGCTGCAACATTATCTGCCAATTTTTAAACTCAATGCCCCAGCTGATGAAGGCAAACATGCCATATGCCTTGTTGACAAACTTCTCCACCTGTGTTGCCACTATCAGTGACATGTGTACCTGTGCACCCAGATCCCTCTGCCTATCAGTACTCTTAAGGCTTCTGCCATTTACTGTCCATCTAATTAGACCTTCCAAAATGCACTACCTCAATTTTCTAGATTAAACTCCATCTGCCATCTCTGCCCAAGTCACCAACTGATCTAGGTCCTGCTGCATCGGATGGTCCTCAGCGCTATCTGCAATTCCACTAATCTGTCGTCAGCAAACTTACTAAAATCAGACCAGTCACATTTTCCTCCAAATCATATATATATATTACAGATAGCAAAGGTCCTGACACTGATCCAAGGAACTCTAGTAGTCACTGGCCTCCATTCAGAAACACTTCCACCCTCTCTTCTATAACTGAGGCAGTTTTTTTATCCATCTTGCAAGCTCACCTGACCCCATGCAACTTTACCTTCTGTATCAACCTGCCATGAGGCACCTTGTCAAAAGCTTTACTGAAGTCCATGTAGACAACATCCACTGCCCTACCCTCAATCATCTTCACTTCCTCAAAAAACTCAAAGTTAGTGAGACACGACTTCCCCTTCACAAAACCCGTTGCCTCTTACTATACACCCATTGATTTCCCAGTGGGAGTTAATCCTGTAAAAGAATCCTCTCCAATAATTTCCCTACCACTGACGTAAGGCTCACTGGCCTGTAATTAGCTGGGTTATCCCTGCCACCCTTCTTAAAATCAGGACCAACACTGGCTCTTCAATTCTCTCAGACCTCCCCTGTAGCCAGTGAGGATACAGAAGTTTCTCTCAAGGCCCCAGCAATTTCCTCCCTTGTCTCAGTATTCTGAGGTATATCCCATCAGGCCCTGGGGACTTGTCTACCTTAATGTTTTTCAAGACCCCCAATGCCTCCTCCCTTTTGATCTCAACATGACCCAAACTATTTACACACCCTTCCCAGACTCATCATCCACCAAGTCCTTCTCTATGGTGAATACTGACACAACGTACTCATTTAATACCTCGTCTAGTTTCTCTGGCTCCACAAATTCCCTTCCCTGTCCTTGAGTGGGCCAACCCTCTCCCTAGCTACCCTCTTGCTCTTTATATACATATAAAAAGCCTTGGGATTTTCCTCAATCCTGTTGGCCAATGATTTTTCATGACCCCTTTTAGTCCACCTGTTTCCTTGCTTAAGTTTCTTTCGACTTTCCTTGTATTCCACCCTTGCTTTGTGTGTTCCCAGCCTCGACAAAGCTTCCCTTTTTGACTAGGCTCACAATATCTCTCATTATTGAAGGTTCCCTAAACTTGGAAGTGATCAGCCCTGAGCCACTTGGTGACCACCTCTGATCTAGCCTTGCTTAAAGAGGTTCAGAGCAACAGTCATGACCATTGCTAAGCATTGTTCAGCCCCCAGCCTCCAGCTCCTCACCTTAGACTGCAGCAATTCCTCAGTGATGTCACCATCTCTAGTTGGAAGATCTTTCCTAAAAGAAAAATTAAAGGAATATTTCAAATCCAAAGCTACAAACATTCTCAGAATATGCTAATACAGTTAAGGTCACCCCCACTTTATAGTGGCAGCAAGATACATCCAGGACAGTTAAATACACAATTAGATTAAGTGAAGAACTTAGAGGACTGGATGTTGGGGGAAGGGGGAGCAGCAGGTAGAGTGGGAGGGAGCAGAATGGTGGTGACAGGTGGACACTGGTGCTAGGTATGACCTGGTTGGTCAATGAGAGGGATGAATCGAGTTGGTGGCTGGAAGGGAGGGTCAGAGATCGTGGGGCCGGAAGGGGAGCCAGGGAATGGGTGGGAAGGCTATTTGAAATTGGAGAACTCAGTGTTAAGTCCTGTGGGCTGTAGGGTACCCAGGCAGAAAGTAAGGTGTTCTTCAAATGCTGCTAGCCAGCACAACTCTCCCTCATCTGTGTACCCCTACAATGCACCCTACCCTCCCTCCTCTACCTCATCACTCCCACACCCCTCCCCCATCCAATCCTCCATTCTACTCCCCAGCCCACTACCCTTCCACAACTATTCCCTCCCCCACACTGTGTCCAACACTCACTCATCACATGCTATCACCTACCCCTTCCTCCCCCAGCCCCAAAACCCCATCCCCCAGAGCTTGCCACATTCACCATACCCCAGCTCCCCCCACACCAACCTTAAACTCAGAGGCCAAACAGTCTGTTCTCAGTAAAGGGCTCATGTTTTTGCCTCTCCATTCCCACCTCAACAAGTTGTGCCCACAATGTGGAACTCTTCTTCTGTCACCTCCAAGCCTTCTTCAAAGATTCCCCACCAACCTCCAGGGACTCTCCTCCTCTTGCAGGCCCCCTGCCAGCCTCTTACCCACCCTGGACCTCTTCATTGCTAATTGCCAACATGACTGACCACCACGATTTCTTCACCCACCACCACCCCCCCACTTCCAAATGTGCAGCGCTCCACACCAATTCCCATTTCACTATCAAACCCACTGAAACGCAGGGCAGTGGTAGTCTGGAGCCAACTCTCCATCACATCCTACTTTCCCCTTGACCATGATCCCATCTCCCACACTGTCCATGATCTTATCGCTTCTGGGGACCTCCCCTCCACTGTCTCCAGCCTTAGCCCCCTCAGCCCCACACTGCCCAGTTCTACCTGCCCCAACTACCCGGGCTGACCCACCCTCTCCGCATGCTCCTGCCCCAACTTGATTCTCTCCCCTTGGTCCAGGCACTCCCCACCTATATCTGGGACATAAACCACACACTCCACTTCTTTGGCAACTTCCAGTTCCCTGGCACCCAGTGCATCATCTTTACTATCAAGATGCAATCTTTATATACATCCATACCCCACAAGGGCAGCCTACAGGCCCTCAGTTTTACTTCAACAGACTCATCCAGTCCCCCACCAATACCCATCTCACCAAACTAGTCCTCACCCTCAAGTTTTCCTTTAGTTCTGCCCACTTTCTCCAAACCCAGGGGGTTGCCATAGCGCTCACACAGACCCCAGCTACAGTTATGTTGAACAGTCCCTCTTCTGTACATACACCAGTACTGTTCCCCAACTCTTCCACCATTATGCAGTACTGATGCAGTCACTGAAGTCAATGCTGCATCCTGCACCCAGGCTGGATTGGAGCAGCTCAGACTTCACTAACAACTTCCACCCCACCCTCAAATTCACGGTCTATCTTGGACACCTTACTCCCCTTTCTTGACCTCCATTTCCATTTCTGGCAACAGTTTACGAACATTTACTGCAAACCCAGACTCCCATAGCAATCTAGACTACACCTCCTCCCACCCTGTATCCTGCAAAAACTCCATCCCATTTTCCCCAATTCCTCCTCCTTCATATCTGACGAGGAGATGTTCCACTCCCAAGAATCCCAGATGTCCACCTTCTTCAAACAATGCTCTTCCTGCAACCCACCCCCACCCCATCATCCAGACAGCTCTCTACTGCACCTCCTCCATAGCCCTTAACCACCACCACCATCTCGCCGCCCCCCCCGCCAAACAACGTGGTCTTCACATTCCACCCCACCAGCCTCTGCACCCAATGTATCATCCTCAAACACTTCTTCCAACTCCAATCAGACCCCGCCACCCAGAACATCTTCCACTCCCCACCCCTCCCTGCCTTCTGCAAGGAGCATTCCTTAGTTTGTGGCACACTCCCCACCAACCACTCCATCCCACCCAGTACCTTCCCCTGTAACCGTAAAAGCTGCAACACCACCTCCCTCACCTCCATTCAGGGCCCTAAACAGCTCTTCCAGGTGTGAAGGAGCTTCACCAGCATCTCCTCCAACCCAGTCTATTGCATCTGGTGCTCCTGATGTGGTCTCCATGGAGAAGAAACGTAGACTAGCTGACTGTTTCACTGAACATCTTCACCTGGCCCATAATGGCCAACCTAACCTCCCAGTCACTGCCCATTTCAACCCACCCACCATCACTCCGCTACCCCCACCTCACCCACTCCAGCCCCCACATCTGTCCTCTGCCTCCTCCAGTGTCACAGCATCTCAGAACACAAATTTGAAGAACACCTTATCTTCCACCTGGACACCCTGCAGTTCTTCAATTTCAAATAACTTTCCCAGCCATTCCCCAGCTCCCTTTCCAGCCCCACCTCCTCCCTTCCATTCCACCTTCTGAGCCTCCCTTCCAGCCACCAACTAGATTCATCCTTCCCATCGACCAACTAAGTCATACCTACCAGTGTCCACCTATCACCACCATTCTGCTCCCTTTTCCGCACACCCCCCCCCCCTCCACTTTATCTGCAGCTCCCCCTATCCCCACATCCAGTCCTGAAGGATAATACACAAAACATAGACCTTTCCTCCAGATGCTGCCTGGCTTGCCGTGTTCTTCCAGCCTCCTGTTTGTCTACGTTGGATTTCAGCTTCTGCAACTTGCCTCTAGACAAAAGGAGTGCTCAGTGGAGTTTGGGATGTTAAGGGGTGATTTGATTGAAGTTGCAGACTACGGAGTAAAAGGGGAAACTATTTACATTGGTTAGAGTGTTTAGGGACATGTATTAAAACCAGATTTTCATGAGGAAAAAAAGTAGGAAACTCTTCCACATGCACGAGCAAAACCCTGTGGATGTGGAATATGGATCAGACGTGGTGGCACAATCAAAGCAACAAGGCTCAACACTTTCACGACACGTTTCAAACACTTCCACGAACAGCAAGTGATGCTAAATCCACTGTAAATCCGAGACTGGCTCTAGGGACACGACATGGTTGTGGAGTTACATTTTGATAAGCTCATGGCTGATCTATATGGCAGAGCAGAGCTAAATGCTACATTCAATACGAGCTCCAAGGACCAATCGAAGACTGAGTTTGTATCACTGTAGCTTTTCTCCAAGTTGGATTTTAGCAAAGCTTTTGACATGATCCCACATGGGAGACTAATTGAGAAGGTTAAAGCACGTGGAATAGAGGGAACCTTGGCGAGATGGATCAGAAACTGTCTTAGTCATAGGACACAAAGGGTAGTGGTAGAATGCTGTTTGAGTGACTGGAGGCTGGTGTCTAGCGAGTATCACAAGGATCAGTACTGGGACCCTTATTTTGTTATATGCTTAAATGATGGTGGGTGAAAATGTGAGGAGAATGTTAAAGCAAATTTGAAAACGATACCAAGATTGATAGTGGTTAGTAGTGAAGATGGCTGTAGGTTACAGGAAGTTTATAGATGGGTTGGTCAGATAGGCAGACAGAATTTAACTCTGCTAAGGACAAGGTGATGCACTATGGAAGAATGGTTTAATAAATGGCTGGATACTGAGTAGCTTAGAGGAATGGAGGGATCCGGCAGTAACTATTCACAGATTTCTGGTGTTGGCATGAATAGGATAGTTAAGGCAGCAAATGGGAAACTTGCTTTCAGTTGTGGCATATGGTACAAGAGCAAGGAGGTAATATTGGAATTCTACTGTGTTGGTCAGGCCACAGCTGGAGTACTGTGTGCACTTCTGGTCACCTCACTACAGAAAGGATGTGATAGCACTAGAGGGGATGCAGAGGAAGTTCATCAGGATGTTACCTGGGATGGAGAAATGGAGCTACAAGGAGAGACTGAATTAGCTTGGATTGTTTTCTTTAGAGCATAGAAGGCTGAGGGGGGAACATGATTGAGATGTAAAAGTTTGAGGGGGCTATGGACAGGGCAAATAGAACACAACTGGTCCCCTTGGTTGAGGGGTTAATCACGAGAAGGCATCATTTTAGGGCAAGGGGCAGGGGATTCAAAGGTGACTGGGAAAACATTTTCAGTGGGTAGTAGGAATCTGGAATGCACTGCCAGGGAAGGTAGCGGAGGCCAAAAACCGTAGAACCATAAAAATATTTGGATGAACACTTCAAATATCATGGAATTCAAGGATATGGGACAAGTGCAAGAAATTGGGATTAGCACACTTAGTGGTAGTTCTGTCAGTGCAGACTTGATGGGCAGAAAGTCCTTTTCTGCTCTGCATAACTCATTCTCCTGAAACATCAGCCTTTCTGCTCCTATGATGCTGCTTAACCTGCTGTGTTCATCCAGCTCTGCACCTTATTGTCTCTCATTCTCCACCACACTGTTTGAGCTATGTCCAGTTAGCATGAGTAACTCAAGACTTTAAATCTTAATGCAGACCAGAAATCCTACGCTGGGCACAAGGAGACTGGCTGCATTAAAGCTTTCTCAGTGGCAAAATGAACAAGGAAGCAAGCAGCTGGACTGGAAAGGTGAAGCACACAAGGACAATGTTTAAGGACACCCACCTCACTAACCACAATGATAGCTTGCAATCATGGAAAGGAACTAGAACATGGAAGATGTGTTGACCTGGGAAGTGCCAATTTCAGTTACTTAGGAAAAGTGAAGAGAAACAAACAAGTTGAACTGATGCACTTTGGTAGGATCAATATACAAAGAGTTTAAGAATGGCTAATTACGGTCAGGGATATGTCTACATACACACACATATCCCCCTACAGGCTCATGGTTTATAGATAAAATCCTGAAATTTTTTTTATTAATTCATGTGAAGGCATTGCTGGCTAGGCAGCATTTATTGCCCATCACTAATTAGCCTGAGGATAGTTAAGAGTCAACCACATTGCTGTGGGTCTGGAGTCACATGGAGGCCAGACCAGGTAAGGATGGCAGTTTCCTTCCCTAAAAGGCATTAGTGAATCAGATGGGTTTCCCCCTGACTGACAATTGGTTCACGGTCATCGTTAGACTCCTAATTCCTGATTTTTATTTGAATTCAAATTCCACTACCTGCCACAGCAGAATTTGAACCTAGATCCTCAGAACATTACTGGGTCTCTGGATTAACATTTCAAGGGGAATACCATTACCTTCCCCAGTTGTGGGAAAGATTAGTAAACTGACCACAGCACCATGGAATCGGGGCACGAGAGTGTGGGGATTGAAAACAATGTAGTTTTAACGCAAGGAGATAACATCTGGGGACAGATACAGCTCTGTACAGCCGAGAGGATAATTCCAGAGACCCGAGTTACCTGTATGGTACTATCTCCTCAGGCAGGGAGGAATGAGGGGGATTAAAATGTAAAAAGCTTCAGGACCTGACTTATTGGAGGTTTCTAACTGAGAACACTTGCAGTTAGTGTGGACAAAATTGGGATTTTTCCAAAAATACCCCTTGACTGAATTTGCTGGGCCAAAGATTAGAGAGGTACCACTTGTAAAAGGAGGTGGAGCAAAAGCAGGAAGTACAAAGGCCAGTGAGCCTGACATTTTTTATCTTGGAAAATGCTGGAATCTCCAATCTTAATGCTTTTAGAAAAAACATTCCAAAGAGGGCAAGACCATACAGTGTTAACAATGTATGATAAATTGTTGGGCTTTACAGGAATGGTTAACTAGGTTTGACAAAGAGGTTCGAATTACAAAACTCGAGCTAGTCAGGAAATTAAGGGAACAGAGTGGACAGCAAAAATAAAGTTAAGTCAGAGACCAACCATCATATTGGGTGCTGGAGCAAACAATGAGTTGTTCAGTCCGCTCTTGCTCCGATTTGTATCCTGAACTGTATAGATTCACAAAATCTCTGGTGTGGAAGCAGGCCATTCAGCCCAAGTCCACACCCGACCTTCTGAAGAGCATCCCACCCAGACACACCCCCTACCCTATCCCTGTAACCCTGAATTTCCCATGGCTAGCCCACCTAGGCTGTATACCTGGGCTTTGGGAAGAAACCCACACAGACACTGGGAGAATGTACAAACCCCAAAACAGACAGACAATCACCCAAGGTTGGAAACAAACACAGGTCCCTGGTGCTGAGAGGCAGCAGTGCTAGCCACTGAGCCACCATGCAGCATGGCAAGTTGATAAATTAGCCTATCCCGTGTCTGGTTTCTTTGGCTTTGATATCCAGCAATCATCAATCCATACCAGGTCTGGCTTTGTCCCTTCTGGACAAAGATAAGCACTCCATTGGTCTTTTGTTCTGTGATACCCATGATCCTCAATTGCAGCCCAACCTTGCTTTCTGTTCCATTTGCTCCTCCCTGTGAAACCCATCATTTGTCCATTTCATGGAAGTTTGGAGGAGTCTATTCTTCTAAGTAGAAAGAGACACCACAGATACTGCCAGATCTGCAGAGTTTCTCCAGCAATTTTGACCTCAGACCTCAAGCATCCAGTATTTGATTTCCTCAATTTAATGTCACTATTTGCACTACTTACTATAGTGCCAAGCTTTGACATCAGTGAATATGAATCATTGACTTTGTATTGTCAAATAGGTCAATAACAGCCACCACAAACCACTTTTCAGATACAGCCCCAGATAATTGTCCTGCAACAACCTACCATAATTTGCAAGAGCTTTAAATTTAGCTTTTAAAAGAACTGAATGCAAGTTTCTCCCCCACTTTTTTAAAGAAAGTTCTCTTAATTCATAACAGATGGGAGATTTCAGGCATAACGCAGTTGTATAGAAGTACTGGGCAGCCCATGTTTTCACGCTGCAGGACAAAGCTAAAAAAGTTAGATGAGGAATCATTCCACATCCAGGTAACAGAGGCTTCAATCCTTGCTACCTCCGTTCTATTCAAAAAAGGTGAAAGGAGAGGCTCCAGTGAACCAGTCTCAATCTGAAGCCTAGTTCAAATGATGGCCACTATCACTCCAATACATCCAACAAAAACTGCCTCATTTACCTGCCTCGATCTTCAATCCTTTTCTTCCTCTTTCCAGATTTCTGACTCTTTGCACTGTGGGTGAGGCCCAGTTCGTGGTACAACGTGGGGGTGAACGGGTTTACATTCACCGAAGGGACCCGGAGATGCTCAGGACCATCAGAAAACCCCAGCGGCCGGCGAATCCTGGAGACGGGACCTTTGGTGGCAGCCGAGAGCTGACCAGCCTTGGAGAAGAGGCTCTGAAAAAGAAAGTGACCTTCTAGATTCACCTGAACTCTGGTGGTCACCAGGATGGAGCAGAGTAGAAGCTTCACTGAGACTATTGACTCCACATGAAGACCACAAGATCACTTTGGTTGGGTAGGAGATGAAACCAATGATATGACCTCAAGATCCATAAAGGAAAAATCCAGAGGCCAATACTGGTAGAATTCTAATGACTCCCACATTCCCAGACACTGCACATTCTATCAAAATGTACAAAAAACCAAAGCTCCATACAGTAATTAGAAGAGTTAGTTCCCAAAAACAGACAAGTCACCCAAGACTGTGTTTAAAGTTTTCAGGGAATAAACTTAAGTCACCACAGCACAAGGCTTCTAGATATCAGTCAAAGGTTAAAAGTTTATGAAAATAAAAAAGCTCAAACAGATCTTAACCATATTGCAGACAAATCTCAAACTGTTCCTGGTCCAAGCAGATTGTATTCTTACAGTTAGACTTAAAACTTGCAGATGTAAAATAGGTAGAAAGTGTAGATGCAAGGTTTAGTCAAATTAGGGAGATACCAAATTTCTGCAGTTAAATTAGCTTACAAAGGCCAAGCTACAAGAAATTCACAAGAGTGTATTTTCAGCATCACAGTGAGAACCATTCAGCCCTTCTGAATACTCAGTTTGGGTTGCTGGGTTAAGTGCTTTGGAATGCTCGAAGTGTAAAAGTGTCGCAATGTAGGGAATTTACTGCCAATTCACATTTGATAAATAGTTAAAAGGCAACCAGATAATGTGCTTTAGTTTTGCTGGAATAGTCAGGAGAGAACTCCCTGATCTTTACAGTGTTATGAGCTCCATTACATCCAGCTTAAGGGAGGAGGGCGGGCAGGGAAGGTCTCACTGGTTATATTGGATTCCCAATACATGAGCCAGTTAGCTCCACAGGCAATCATCTCCTACCATTAACCCCAGAATATCAGGATTAACAGGAGGAAATGCACCAGTGTCAAAGTCTTCCGCACCATAGTTAAAGATGAGGAATCTTTACAAAATCTTAACAATATTCATGTCAAGCAGAACATCAATTGGGCTGGGAGGAAAGGTTGGTTTGTAGCTTCATCAAGCGATGACTGGTGTGACCACAAATAGAGACCAAATTGAAGGGGAGAAAATAATTTGCATATCTTTCACAACTCAAATAGCCAAAAAAAAACTTTGCAGCCAACTAAATCCTTTCAATGCAAGTTACCATACTCAGGCAGGAACAGTGTCCCCCAAGTGGACATGAGGTTTAGCTGGCTGTTACCAGCTGATAGGGCTAAAAACTCTGGAACATCTGATAAGGGTTATAGACAGCACAGCTTGTTAAAATAGTGACAGACATCACATCCAAACCCAGTTACCCTGCTCACCCTCCAACACAAACTCCAATTCTCACAATCCTGGAGTTTACCTGATGCAAGTTAAGTCTCTATTTTATCAGATCAATTGCAATAAAAAGGATTCAGAGACCTCAACTGAAATAGACCCTCTTCCATACTCAAAAGAATGACAAAGTTAAAACAGTTTGATTTAACTGGTGTGGCCTTAGAATCAAAGTTAATCAAGTGTATAAGAGATTACTGCCTTTACAGTAAATACTGTTTCAGATGTCACAAAATGAGGTTAGGTTAGCTGACTAAAACCTTCCAGGTTTTAGTTGAAAATGCAGTAAGACTTGAGAATGTCAGTCTGACTCAAGTTGTGCCCTTCAAAACATTTGACAGCGATAAGTACAACTTTATTTTATCATGCAACAAGCCTTAAGCCAAGAACAATGCCTCTTCTATACCTATTATACAGTGTATCCTCAACCACTAATCAGACAGGTCCATGGTAAAGGAAGATCAGTGGCATGAGTTACCCCAAACAGCCCTTACACTGGTAGAGGTGGCAAATACCAGAAGGTACCAGGAAAGGGGAATACTGAAGGATACTTTTCACTTAACAGTTCCAACAACATTCACACTCATCCCAGACTTTAGCAAAACCCTATCCATCACTTTCAACCTTCATTCATTCCAGCAGAGCAGTGAAGATGTGTATTATAGAGTACAGGAACTTGCCAACGCTCCTTCAACAGCACTTTTCAAACCCACAATCTCTGCCGCCAGGGAGAGCATGGGCAGCAGGCACATGGGAACACCAGGACTTGCAGTTTCCCAACACCATCCTGACTCAGAACTAGCACCAAGTCAAGATCCTAGAACTCCCCTCCCCAACATCAGTTCAGCTAAATACACTCACTTCCTGTGCAGGAGATAAGCTTGGGCTCCTCTTCATGCATCAGGAAGATGTTTCTTTACAGTTGATACAAATATTCACCAGCACAGCTCCCATTGGTGCATCACGCAAAGTACAATTTGCTCTGGGCTAGGGCCTCATTTCTGTAATTAACCTTTCAATAAGGTCACAAAGCAAGCTCCATGGGTTAGGTCAGTTATTAGATTGATAATTATTCCATTACACTGCACATTTGCAAATTAGTTCATCAGGCAATGACAAAAAAGGGAATAAGTCACTGTCAAGTCTACAATTTGACAGACAATCCCACTTTGAATTACAGCCACATCCTGAACTCCGATAGATTTCTTGCAGAGGTCCCTCATAGTCCATGCTTTGGCAAGATAGCACAATTTGTCAGCCCTACGTTTTCTTTCACTGCCTGATTTCCTAGTCCTAGCCTGGTCATACATGTCTGAAGGCCGGATGGTGTTTTTGTAACTAGAAAATCAGGGGTCAAGTATAGAAAGACATCAGGGGGACCAGGAGATCAAATGGAGCTTATAACGTTATAAATGGGCAAGTGTCTTAGCACAGGTGGGGGAAACAAGCTAATGTCTTGCTTAGCTTGCAGTTACAGAATCTTGCAGCAAGCAGAGACACTAAGTCAACAGCAGTAGTATTAGTGACACTAGGAACTGCAGATGCTGGAGAATCTGAGATAACAAGGCGTAGAGCTGGATGAACACAGCAGGCCAAGCAACAGAGTAGCAGGAAAGCTGATGTTTCTGAAGGAGGGTCTAGGCCCAAAACGTCAGCTTTCCTGCTCCTCTGATGCTGCTTGGCCTGCTGTGTTCATCCAGCTCTACACCTTGTTATCTCAGCAGTAGTATTAGTATTGTTTTGACACTACTGAGGGGAGCAGGAGCAGACAGGGATGAAAGGAAAGAGTCTATCAGATTAGGTATGGCAGAGAAAACGTGAGGATTAAGCAGAAGATTCCACAACTTTGGAGTGGCTGAAGGAGATCAAAAGATCTCATCCCAGACAGGAGCTATTTAGAGAGTGATGAAAGAAGTTATTCTAATCCATCCACAGTGTCAGACAGGAAACAGGTTCAATAGATGAGGAACACCATTCAGCTTATCCACACAGTCCCCAGGAAGCTCTTGGCACAGCATCCAACTGTCAATGAGATTCTAAACCAATTCCTTCTGTATTGCCCTCTGGCTTCACGCAAACAGAGACACATTGTTCAATTAGGTTACTAGACTTCCACACAGTTAGCATTCAGCAGTGGAGAAAGATAAAAGTATATTCTACAAACAGATCAATCTTCAAGCTTTTACTGTAGTTCAGAATCTCAGGCTCCCAAAACACACTTACACAACTATTATTGCCTATGCTGGCAATAGTCAGATACCTTGGGAACTCAGATAAGAGTATAGCTCCTAAATATTGGTGATGGAAGATTTAGGGGACAAAAAGCAAACTTCCAAGTTAGTTGTTATCAGATAGGAGTATAATCCCACGGCAGGGGTTAGTATTAATATAGGTCAAATAGTCAGTCAATGAGGAAGACATTGGGAAAGACAGAGAGCAAGTTGAAAAGAGTATGGGTCCACCTTGGGGGTGTAAGGAGTGTCACAGAGCCGCAGCTTCCTCCAGTTCATACAGTCGATGGGGGTCCCAGGACACTCACTTCTCCCGGGCAGGCGGCTCCTGGCGCCCCGTGTTCGCCTCCCTTCGCCGGACAGAGGAGCCACTTCGGTCCCCACTGGGAAGCGGCTGAAGGGGGAGACACACGCTCTCCTGGAGGCCGAGGGGACTGTAGCTGCTTCTTCTTGGACTCGAAGGAAGTCAGACAGCTTAACCTTAGCCTCAGCCACGACCACCTCCTCCTCTTCCTCCTCCTCCTCCTCCTCACTGGAGAAGTGCAGTTTCTGGGCGATAGCACTCAGAGCAAAGCGGCTCATGTCTGATACTAACCCCTTGGGCTGCTACTCTTGCCTCAATGTTACCTGATAACTCAGTGAGAAGGAGGTCTTGTGGGCAACACAGTTGCGGGGTTGGGAAAGAAGGAAGATTTGGTGAAGAAAATTGTTGAGGTTCTACGTGCAGAAACCAAATAACCCCCTCCCTTTGCGCTAAGTACAACCCTCCTCTTTCTTAAAGATCACTCACCAGCCCCTATTTCAGGTCTTTTATAACCACCCCGGATTATCATTCAGGCGGGAAACTAACAATTTCACCTGATTTCTGTCAATATCAGCTCCCTGATGTGGGACACCTAGCCGTGTCCAATAGTATCCGTCCCCTCACCGCTTGATACTAATTTCTTAGACATCATTGGCTAACAACTGGCCAATGACAGATGGAGTTACACCACTGGGCTCGTTAATCTGCCACTCTAGGGTTTATAAGGCAAATGCATGCAGCAAGAAAAACCTGTTAAGCAGCTAGTTTGGAAGGTTGTGTGTTCTCTGTACATCTATTTTAATAAAGTTTGTTATTCATAATGTACGCTTCCATTTTTTTTCTGCTTCAAGTGCATGTTTTCTTAGCATCCCTATAGCCTCCAATGTCTCTATGGGATGGTAGGAGGTTGCTAATTTCCTGTTGGGAGTGGGTGCTAGGCTTGAGGTAATACGATGCAAGCCTTTGGCTTCTCATTCCTGGTCTTCCATACCCATTGAGAGACCCAGGTTCAAGTCCAACCTGCTCCAGAAGTGTGTAATAATATCTCTGAACATGTTGATTGAGAAAATTGTAAATTTAAATATTGTTTTGAACAGCCCTCTTGTGGTACAGTGGTAGTGGCTCTACCCCTAGACCTAGAGGCACAAGTTCAAATCTCACCTGCTCCAGAGGTGTGCAATACAACTCTGATCAGGTTAATTAGAAAAGATAATTTAACATTGGGGGGAAAAAAATGTTTGAAAGGCTTATGTTTTGAAAGATTGTGGAAAAAGGAATTTATTGCAAATTTTTTGGTAATAATCTAGAGTGGTTTCTTTAAAAGAGGTTGTTGAAGGGTCACCTGTGGAAATTGGAGATTTTTTAAATTAAAACTTCCTAGAAGTGATGTGACTGGGGACAACTACTTGCTTTGCTTTTTATTTAATTATGCGGTTACATTGTAGTGGTTGCCTGGCAGTGACTGGCTTGGAGAGGAGCTTGTTTAATCTGGTTCATTTGGAGGAAAGCTTGCCATGAACAAGCTACCCAGCTGATCTCTCCCATTCCTGAAAAAGAAAGGCTTCTTGTTAAGTTCAGGGTGAAACCTACATATTCTTTTGAAAAATGATTGGAAGAATACCCTAAGGTTGTATTTTCTGAGCAAATTCTGTGTGAGATGAACATGCAGGATAGTGACTTAACTATTTGTACCAGAGCATTAGAGCAACATGAATCCGGAATATTCTGCACTATACCCTTTTGTGTTCAAGATTAAACAGATTAACAAGATTTAGAGGCAAAAACATTTATATCTTCAAATTACTGTTTGCATATGGTAACCAATTTCTGCATCTTTATTGAATAAATTGGCTTTTGATTATTATTTTGAATTGAGTTTATTAAGAAACCAATATGATAGATCTTTATGTTTAAAACCTAATATAGACAAGATATTTAATTGGTCATCTTGGTAAATGGAAAAAGGTATTTTTATTTTATGTTGTGATCCCTGAGCGTAGTGGGACTAGAACGATCCTGTACTCTCTGGCCTTGGATATAAGAGAGGAGGTATAACAAACACAATGGATGCTATGACACAGAGTCAGTGCTGAGGCTGCAACTTCTCACAATTAATTTAGTGCTTGGATGAAGGGATCAAAGGTATAATTCTTTATTTTGCAGGCAACGTAGAAAGCCAGTTGTGAACAGGATTTAAGGAGATTGCAAATGGATATAGCAGTGGGAAAATATCTCATAAATGGAGTGTAATGTAGGACATTTGTAAAATTGCCTATTTGGGTAGGAAGAATAGAGAAGAAGGCATATTGTCTAAATGGTGATAACACAGTGTGGAGCTGGAGGAACACAGCAGGCCAGGCAGCATCATAGGAGCAGGAAAGTTGATGTTTCGGTTCTGGACCCTTCTTCAGAAGTGGTGAGAGATTTCAAAGCTCGAGATCCAAAGGGATCTGGAATTACATCTGGATTCCCTCTTTTTGTGGTCTATAAATTATTTCCTTTCTAAATTTGGTTTTCTTTCATTCCTGTCCTGAATTACAAAGACCAGCACATACAGGAACAGGCCCTTTGGCCCACCAAAACTGCGCCAACACCAGAAGGGCACAAATATCCTGGGAGGGAGGTTTGCTCGAGCTATACAGGATGGTTTAAACTAGATTGGCAGGGGGTGGGGAACTGGATTTATAATTCAGAGGATGAAGTATTCAGTCTTCCAACGGACACAACAGGGAGTGAGGTTGTTAATAAAGAAATGCAGTCGATGGAGCGTAATTGTGGACACAGAGATGGTTTGAGGTGTGTATACTTCAATGCTAGAAGTATCAGAAATAAGGCGGATGAACTTAGAGCATGGGTCAGTACTTGGAACTACGATGTTGTGGCCATTACAGAAACATGGGTAACTCAGGGACAGGAATGGTTGTGGATGTTCTGGGAATTAGATGCTTTAAAAGAAATAGTGAGGGTGGAAAAAGAGGCAGGGGAGTGGCATTGCTAGTCAGGGCTAGTATAGCAGCTACTGAAAGGCAGTTCAAGAATGATATGTCTACAGAGTCAGTTTGGGTTGAGGTCAAGACCAAGAAAGGAGCAGTCACTTTGTTGGGGTTTTTTTACAGACCCCCTAATAGTTGCAGAGAAGTGGAGGAGTGGATTGGGAGGCAGATACTGGAAAGATGCAGAAGTCACAGGGTTGTAGTCATGGGTGACTTCAACTTTCCAAATATTGATTGGAAACATTTTAGTTGTAATAGTTTAGATGGAGCAGATTTTGTCCAGTGCATTCAGGAAGGATTCCTGACACAGTATGTAGATAGACCAACACGAGCAGAGGCCACTTTGGATTTGGTGCTTGGCAATGAAACAGGCCAAGTGTTAGACCTGTTGGTAGGAGACCATTTTGGCGGTTGCGATCATAACTCTGTTACTTTTACAATAGTCATGGAAAAGGATAGGTACATACAGCAGGGTAAGGTTTATAATTGGGGAAAGGGTAATTACAATTCTGTTAGGCAAGAACTGGGTAACATAAAATGGGAACAGATGCTGTCAGGAAAGAGCACTATTGAAATGTGGAGATTGTTTAAGGAATGCATACTGCATGTGCTCGATATGTTTGTCCCTAACAGGCAGGGAAGATGCGGTCGAGTGAGGGAGACTTGGTTCTCAAGACAGGTCGAACGACTGGTTAAGAGGAAGAAGGATGTTTATATAATGTTTAGGAAACAAGGAGCGGAAAAAGCTCTAGAAGGATACAAGTTATCCAGGAAGGAGCTGAAGAAAGGGCTTAGGAGAGCTACAAGGGGGCATGAGAAAACCTTGGCAGATAGAATCAAGGAAATCTCCAAGGCTTTTTACACATACATGAGGAATAAGAGAATGACCAGAGAAAGGGTAGGGCCGATCAAGGATTATAAAGGGAATTTGTGCATGGAGCCTAAAGAGATAGGAGAGGTCCTTAATGAATATTTTTCTTCGGTATTCACAACTGAGAGGGACCTAGTTGTAGAGGAGGACAGTGTGAAACAGGCTAGTAGGCTAGAGGAAGTCGATGTTAGTAAGGAAGATGTACTAGGAATTTTGAGGAACTTAAAGATAGATAAGTCTCCTGAGCCTGATGGGATTTATCCAAAGATTCTATGGGAAGCAAGGGAAGAGATCGCAGAGCCATTGGCGATGATCTTTTCATCCTCATTTCCACGGGTATAGTGCCGGAAGATTAGAGAGAGGCAAATGTCCCTTGTTCAAAAAAGGGAATAGGGATAACCCCGGAAATTACAGGCCAGTTAGTCTTATGTCAGTGGTGGGCAAATTATTGGAAAGGGCTCTGAGGGATAGGATTCATGATCACTTGGAAAGGCACAGTTTGATTCGTGGTAGTCAGCATGGATTTGTGAGGGGTGGATCATGCCTCACAAACCTTATTGAATTCTTTGAAGAGGTGACCAAACTCGTGGATGAAGGTAGAGCAGTGGATGTGGTATACATGGATTTAAGTAAGGCGTTTGATAAGGTTCCCCATGGTAGGCTCATGCAGAAGGTAAGGAGGCATGGGATAGGGGGAAATCTGGCAGATTGGATTCAGAATTGGCTGACCCTTAGAAGACAAAGGGTGGCAGTGGACGGAAAATATTCAACATGGTGCTCAGTTACAAATGGTGTACCACAAGGATCTGTTCTGGGTCCTCTTCTATTTGTGATTTTTGTAAATGATTTGGATGAAGGAGTGGAAGGGTGGATTAGTAAGTTTGCGGACGATCCGAAGGTGGGTCGAGTTGTGGATAGTGTGGAGGGCTCTTGTAGGTTACAAAGGGACATTGATAGGATGCAGAGCTGGGCTGAGAAGTAGCAGATGGAGTTTAACCCTGAAAAGTGTGAGGTGATGCATTTTGGAAGGACAAACTTGAAAGCAGAATACAGGGTTAACGGAAAGATTCTTGGCAGTGTGGAGGAGCAGAGGAATCTTGGAGTTCATGTCCACAGTTCCCTGAAAGCTGCCACTCAGGTGGATAGAGTTGTTAAGAAGGCGTATGGTGTATTAGCTTTCATTAATAGAGGGACTGAGTTCAAGGGCCGTGAAGGTATGCTCCAGCTATACAAAAGCCTGGTTCGGCCACATCTGGAGTATTGTGTCCAGTTCTGGTCGCCTCATTACAGGAAAGATGTGGAAGCGTTGGAAAAGGTGCAGAGGAGATTTACCAGGATGTTGCCTGGAATGGAGGGAAGGTCTTATGAGGAAAGGTTGAGAGAGCTAGGGTTTTTCTCTTTAGAACGATGAAGGATGAGAGATGACTTGATAGAGGTGTACAAAATGATCAGACGTATAGATAGAGTAGACAGCCAGAGACTTTTTCCTAGGGTGGAGGTAGCTATTACAAGGGGGCATAGTTTTAAAGTGAGTGGAGGTAGATATAGGGGAGATGTCAGAGGTAGGTTCTTTATTCGGAGAGTGGTCGGGGCGTGGAATGCATTGCCGGAGAGGGTAGTGAAGTCGGCCTCATTAGGGGCATTTAAGTTGCTATTAGATAAGCATATGGACGATAGTATAAGGTAGGGGTGGAGGTTAGATAGACCTTAGGATTAGGGTAAAAGTTCAGCACAACATCGTGGGCCAAAGGGCCTGTACTGTTCAATGTTCTACATTCTAACACACAATGCCTTTCTAAACTAAAAACCCTTGCCTTTACACTGTCTGTATCCTTCTATTCCATGCCTATTCGTATATCTGTCATGATGCCTCTTAAATGTTGCTATTGTACCAGCCTTTACCATCTCCTCAGGCAGCACATTCCAGGCATTTACACACTCTCTGAGTAAAAAAAAATTGTCTCTCACATCTCCTTTAAATTTATCCCCTTTTACCTTAAACCTACGTTCCCTAGGAATTACCATTTATACCCTCGGAAAAAGACTCCAACAATCCATTCTATCCGTGCCTCTCATAATTTTGTAAACTTTTTATCAGGTTGCCCCTCATCCTCAATGTTCAAGTGAAAACAAACCAAGTTTGTCCAGTCTCTCCTCACAGCTAATACCCTACAAACCAGGCAACATCCTGGTAAACCATTTCTGTACCCTCTCCAAATCCTCCACATCCTTCTGGTAGTGTGGTGACCAGAATTGTACTCAATATTCCAAACGTGGCCTAACTAAAGTTCAATGCAGCTGCAACATGACTTTCCAATTTCTTATATTCTATGCCCTGATCGATGAAGGCAAGCATGCCAAATGTCTTCTTCACCACCTTATACACTTATGAATGGCTTCGAAAAAAGTTTTGACTTTGTGGTTATTTTTAGCAATGCTTAGGTTCTGTATGTTTGCTTAATTCTTTGTGTACTACCCCCCAAACATCCATAGATATACCACTTGTTGACCACATTAATAACCTCAATAAATTCAACTGGTTATGTTAAACATGTCTTCATCATTTTAAAATCCAAGCTGGCTTTTCGGTCAATCTCACGAGTGGTTAATTTGGCACGCACTGAGGATCAGTCCTGGTGTTGGTTGAAGGCCAGGATTAAACTGGTCAGTAAAGCTGCTGAGTGCTTTGTAATTGGCATGTGTTGACCATGGAAGGAGTCTGCTTTCCAGAGATTCTCTGTGAGTCACCCTTGGAGTTCTTTTGTGAATTCCAACATTACAGAGCTTTACCAATTGTCCTCACTGCCCAAGGCTGAAGTGGGAAGTGGCATATTACCTGGGATCTGCCTCATGCTTGCTCTGCAGTGATCCCAGCTGGAAAGCAATGCTTTAAGATAGGATTGTTGCTTCTGTAATGCCTTCACTGGTTGAATAACAAACACTGCCCACTCTCACAGATGAAGGAGAAAGACAGTGACCAGTGAGTTGATAGAAACTGAATGTCTGGGATACTCTCATACAGCACCTTTTGGTGAGGGAGTTGATAATTTACTGCTTTCCAGAGATTCTCTGTGAGTCACCCTTGGAGTTCTTTTGTGAATTCCAACATGGCCCTTCACAAAGAGCATCCTTTGCATCTCACTTCGTTTCACTTTCTCTTGTAATGCTGTTTGCAGCCAGCAGATGTCAGTTGGAAATTGCTTTACATTGAATACTTCAAACTTGTGCTGATTATAAATCCAAATCATAATGTATCACTGGAAATCTGAAACCTGAAAATACGTATCCATGGAGATAGAAATGGACACAAACTGTTGTCTAGTGTGACCATGGGCTAAACTCCTAACTCTACAAAAACACCACAGAGTTTGTTGCATTTGTTGTGTGCATGTCTGTGTCCAAGATATATTTAAGCATTTCTGTGCCTATGTTTATATATCCGTGCATGTACAGCTGTGTCTTGACATGAGCACAGGCCATTCAGCCCATCAGTTCAATGCCAGTTCTCTATAAAACAAACCAGTAGATTCTATTCCCCAATCTATTCCTGTGGTCCTCCCAATTCATTCCTTTCCAGAACCCATGCAAATAATTTTAAAATCATTGCTCATCCCCACTTCCACTGATGTCCAATGTAGTGAATTCAAGATCATTTATCAGTATTTGAATGTCTGCATGTTTGTGTGTATGTCTACGTGTGTACATTTGTTATATCTGAGTGTGGCTGTAAAGAGATATCTATCTGTATATATCTGTGCGCTTATGTCTGTTTACCTACAGGAACATGGAACTAAGGAGCACGGGTAGGGGATCTGATCATTGGAACCTGGCTCTGCCATCCAATAAGATCATATCAGACCTGGTTGTACTAGAACATGCACATTCCTGTCTGCTCCCTTATCTGTGGGTATCTCAGTGTGTTAATCTGTCTGCATTTCAGTGTTCAATTTGTGTGTATTTCAGTGTGTTAATCTGTGTGTATTTCAGTGTGTACAT